AGGGAAGTCAGTCAGGCTGTGACCGCCCTCGAGGGTGAGAGGGATTTGCTTTTGGGAGAGGTAGCTTTCGGTCATATCTCCCTTAAAGCTGTGTCACTAGATACTTTGGGACCCATGGTAGTCCTCGAGGGGACCTCCGGATCCTAAATTCCCTGTCACACATAGAGGCTCCAGAGGTCAGTCTGACGAGGTTTGTTAGGGTGGGCCACAGGGGCTTTTGAGAGGAGCAGGAAGGGCAGCATGTGTGCTGGGGAAGGGGCTAGGGACCCTGTCTGTGTAGTGCAGACATTCTCCTGTGGTCCGTATTTCCACGGGTGGGACCACTTAAAAGAGGGTTGTGGGAGTTTCCTGTTCCCGTGGTTCGGTGCTCGGGCCATCCCAGGTTCGGGCATGTGCAAATGCAGCACCCACACGTTCCATTCCCCCTCCTGACCCCCCTCCCTCCCCTGTCCTCACACCAGGCCCGCCTTACTCAGGCATACGTGGTTGCAGTTTTTGCTTTTCCAGTTGCAGAGATGCGTATTTTCTGGGCAGCATAACTAGGTGTGACCTAACTTCATGGGTAAGGATGGTCTCATCATGGCTCCTGTGCACCTAGGTTTGTACCGAGGTATTGGGATCCAGGATAGCCCATGATGTCCTGAGTCTCACATCCCCATTGCTGGGTATCCTTTGGTCAAGATGGGACATCTGGGTACACTGAGGTGCAGCCTTGGATCACATCATGAACGGGATGTCTGTCACCATTTCCGATGTCTCCTGGGCCCTTTTGATCAATGGCAGTTGCCAGGCCTGACCCAGGCATGTGTGACTGTTGGACCCATCTGTTGCAAGAGCACCTCCTAGCCCTACCTTCTGAGTTTGCAGGCCACCCCCAGGCCACCCATTCATCTGTGCTGGGCTGCCTCTACTAAGGATAAGTGCTTGGCCCATCATCTGTGCTGGGCTGCCTCTACTAAGGATAAGTGCTTGGCCCACCATAGGCAGGTGGGCCTGCTGGGACAGCCTCAACTGTATGGACTTTCTGAGTGGCCTCATAAAGGGCTAGATTGACACATATTTGCCTGCTGGGTACCCACACCTAGCCTCTAGCACCTTCTACACATGCCAAGCACCCTGCTTGTGTGAGTCCACCAGCTGGGCCCACTTGCTGGGCCCTTTCTCATTCATAGGTGCTGTTCCAGCCTCTCAGAAAGCACACTGCTGGAGGCATGCAGTGGCAGAGGAAATTACCTTCTTCTAAAGAGGAGAGGGTGTTGAAATAGGACTGTCCTGGTGGGTGGGTGGTTGCTAAAGGATGCTTTGGTGAAGTCAGAGTGTGGGGAGATGAGAGTAGTGTTGTGTGTGGTAGAGCCAAGCTTGTCCTGTGAGGTGAGGTCCAGGTGGAAAAAGCAGGATCCTGGGTGGGGGGCTTCAGTTCCCCACAGAGAGGTGTGGACCATCACGGGACTCCCTACAAATGCCATGGCAGGCAGAGTAACCATCCTTGAGAGGCAAGAAGGAAATCCTTTCCAACATGCCTTAACTAGCAGGTGCTGGTTCAAGCTTCTAGAGTTTGACCCTGGGTTTATTTTAGACATTGTTAAGTGTGGTACTATTTGGGGGAAAAGTCCCCGGTAACACAGTTCCCTGTGCAGAAGGAAGATCCAGGCCTAACCACGTAGACACTCCTTTGCAATGTACGTGTGACCTCTGCCATGAAGAGGGTTCCTATGGCTTAGGGGCCTAGGATCTGGTGCGGTTTTAATCATACAGGCAGTGCCGAGGGCACCAGGCTGTAATGGACATTTTGACATCTCCCCTAAGGAAGGGTTCTGTTGACTGAGAAACAAATTTAAGGATGGAGGTCTAGGGAGGGAGAGTCTGAGAAAAACTTAATAGTCTTGGAGATTTGGGCCTGGTCTGGCCTGGCCCTACAGGTGGCACAGATCACCAGGCTATTAACAACCACCACTCCCAGGCTTCTGAGTGGAAAGCAGGTATACACATCGCTTCACAGCCCTGGCTTCTGTGGTGCTTGTCTGTGAGTACAAAGACCTCATGCCTTCTACAGGCTGCTTTTCGTTTGGAGTGAGTACATTAGGGAACCTCTACATTTGGCTCTGGTGTATTCTTTGGGTCTCCCCTGCACCGGTGGGTCCCTGAGTTGCTTGTGAAGTATCTGGACTGAGAGTGTGTAGGGATTTCACCTGACTGTGCAGCAGGGCTCAAACACTAAATGCCCAGACATGGCTCCAGTGACCTCATTGGCCATCGGTGGGTTGGTGTTTGTGACTAGACACCAATGTTGGGTCACTTGGTTTGGGGGCTAAACCAAGCTTGTCTTATCTTGGGGACAACAAATCAGGAGGAAAGGCTGAGATGAGGGCTACTTGGTTGTAGAGAGTTCTGCATTCAGACAGAGGGTGGGACAGAATGTGATTGGACCTGGCGGGCTATTGATGTCACCTTCCTGTCTCCTCTTTGCTCCAGCACAAATGCCAGGGCACATGGCACATGAAGTCCTGGTCCCCGTTTCCATTGCAGTCATGAAGTTCTTCTCAGTGTCTTTATTGTCTGTGCATGCCAACATTTCAGGAGTCCTGCGTGGCCCAGGAAAGCCCCAGCCATGTCAGCCCAGGATCAGAAGGCTGTGAAGAGAAGTGCCAAGCGCCCAAGGGCAGATGGGACTCTCCTATCAGATGACTTTCAGAACCCTGATGCAATCGCCCCTGGTAACAACTGATATAGGGCATATAGGGCTGGACCCAGTGGAGGGGATATTCTACTACCCTTTGGCATGTGGAGCTCTGGGCCATCGGGGTCGGGGCAGGGTAAGGAACATGGGGGTAGTCTGACACTGGCCACTGGTACTCAAGCATGTTCTGTGCTTCAGTCCCCACCTGACATTCTTACCCCGTGGCAGAAATTCGAGGCTCACAGAGCCTTTGGTCCTGGCCAACATGTCTCTCAGGAACCCCATGGGTCACAGGGAATTTCCTTTGTGAGGCTTGTACAAATACATGTACCCCGATGTCAGATGTCACTAGGCTCTGACTCAGCTGAGTTTCACCTGTGTCTAGGGGCTATCGGTGGGGGCATGAGTTCCTGGAAGACTGCTTTAAAACCTTTGATGACCATGGGCTCAACCACCTCTAGAGTGAAGCTGTTTCTCATTTGTGGTGAAGAGAGCCACACATTTCATTTGCAAAGGTTTATTTCTGTCTTCTCAATGCAGCAGACAATCCAGCAGTTGACACCAGAGAGCTGAGCAGCTGTTCATTGGGATCAGACGTGCAAGAGACCAGGTGATGTCTTAAAGGAATATTGGCCTGTTGAGTGAGGTAGTTTCAGTTGAGGTCATATGCAGGTATACAAAGAAAATTAGCCCTTTCCTGAAAAAGGATCTAAGTGGAGAGCTCAAGTGAGAGAAGGCAGGAGACAGGGAAGAGGCAGGCAATACCCAGTTGAGGAGAAGGTCTGGGGGTGCAGGAGTTAGAGGCAGACTCTGTAGGTTGAACATGGTCCCATGGTATGAAATTTGAAGAGACACTGTCTGGGTGACATAGGACAGATGGCAGGAGGGTATTGAGAAAGGATGAGAGTGAGTATGGCTGGAGGGTGGGACACATGGGTGAGTATAGCTTTATGAAACACAATGCTGCCATACAGTGAATGGATTCCAGTAAACATTCAGTATAAAAACCCCCACCTGCCACACCACGACACAAAGCTACTGCTTGAGGAGAGGACATACTTCCATGGAGGTGCCTGGGCAGGGAATACCTGGAATGCAGTTTTCATGAGTTGCCCAATACCCAAGCTTGGCTGGGGCTCCTGGGGGTACAGCTGACTTTCAGTCACCTATGCTCCAGTAAGTAGCTCTTAGCCATTTTGCCCTTATGCATCTGCACTGAACTCATTGGTTCGCTATGACAGTGTGAACAAAGGAATAAAAGCAGTGACCCAAAGGGGGAAATATGACTTTGCCCACATAAGCTCTAGTCTCAGCACAGCAGCATGCTTCCCCTTTACTTCAAAGCAAACTTAGGATGTTTGTTTTCAGTTAATGGTTCTGTGTGCATTTTTTTTCCACAGGGAGCCTGTTGAGAAGAGGGCACAAGACTTCAAAGGTATGTTTGAACAAATCATAGACCCAGGGCTTTCGTTCCAACTGCAACCTGTGCATGGTGAGAATGTGGTCACAGAGAGCCAACAGGACTCTGCAACAGTTCTGTCGCCCACAGGATGTTTTGGAAGGGTAAAGTGTCATTTGGCTTTCAGGGGCTACCTTTCACATAACTTTGAAGTAGCTGCTGTGAGCAGGGGGAATGTTGTAGCTGTCACCTAGGTGGTGGGGAAAGAGCTTCCTGTTTCCTGCACTGCTGAAGAGTTGAGTGCTACTAGGCATGGTAGACCAGCAGATAAATCTCTGCCTTTTAACTTACTGCACAAGTGGTACTTTGCATTTCAACAGCTGTTTTTCAAGTTCCGAATTAAGTCATTTTTCTGCCTTTCCAGAGTTGCTCTCCCCCAGGAACCCCTGCCAAAGGAGGGCAGGAAAAACAGCCTTTAGTCTGTGCACATTTCTGAGCCTGTCAGGAAACGCTGAAAGCAGCACACTGTGAACCAGGAAGAAAAGTGTGATAGCATGCAAACATAATGTGTGCAACATTAGCTTGTTTTCTGTCCTCCATGGTAACCGAGTCAATGTGCCTCATACTCCTCAAACTGAGGCAGTTTTCTTTCAGCTCTTGATTCATGTGTATAGGTGATCCTAAGACCTCATTAGTAGAGAGGCGTTGTCAGTTCTTAGCCAGTGTTTATAGTCATTCTATACAAACAATGATGTCTGACAGCATCGCTCTTTCTAATGCAGAGGAACTGCTTGGGTTTTGAAGTGTTTGGAAAATGCTTTGTTGGTGGCAGTCTTCAGTCAAGCAGGATGCCCCACCCCTATACTCCTAGTACTTAGGAAGTGGAGGCAGGAGAATCAGGGACTTTAGGTTGGCCTCACTTACCTGTCAAGTTTGTGACAAGCCCGGGACACAAAAGACCCTGTCAAAATTAACACACACACCACCACCACCACCACCAACACCACCACCAACAACAACAAAAACAAAGAGCAAATTAACAGCAAATCTATAGTTGTTTGTATTATCATGTAGGATAATGTGTCCCAGATGAAAAAGTGCTTCTTCCTCTGGATCTTGGATTTAAAGTGATACTATTTCCTTTCTCTTATAGGTGATTACATTACCCGGATCCTGGAGGCAGAGAGGAAGCAGTTTGAAAAGAATATAAATGCCTCTTTCAGAAGCCTGAGTGAAAACCTGCAGAGTATTTTCAAAACCCAGCAGGAGTCAAGGTAAAGTTATGACCTTCTGTAAAGGAGACATTTACAGTCTTTACTCTGCCTTCCCAAGTCCCTCCTGCCTGCCACCATGATCATGCACAGAGTGGAACAGCCAAGGACATCTATGAAGCACTGCATGTTTTTTCCTCATGACCTGGTCCTATTCATGACCAGTGTAACCCGGCCCTCCTTCTATGGAACTGAGATGTGTCAGCTGCAAGACTGACAAGAGAACAGTTTCTCCCCTCTCAGATAACAATACATTTAACTTTCTGTAAGGCAGGCCAGTCCTCTGTGGTCTACAAAACTTTACCTATTAGGAGATACCCTTGGAGCTTTCTTTTGTAAGTCATGCACACGTGGGGAAAGGGTTCTGTGCAATCTTAATGTACTTCCCCTATAGCGAAGGGGATTTAACCTTCAGAACCAGGACTTAGGCTGTCAGACTCTATAGGTTACTCCATAAGGGGAAGGAAAGAGGAGTCTAATTTCAAGCCAGAAATGCAATCTTGAGAAATGTATGCATCAAATGTATGTGTTCAAGAGGGAAGACAGACGAATGATGTCTTCTGTAATGGCTTAAGACAAAATCCTTCTGGAGTGAGTCACATCTCTGCCTCTCATGAGTCAGTTTAATGCATCTTTCCCCCACCCCCGTCTTGCTCCTAGCTCTGTTTCCAAATGATGAAGGTGTGTTGTTGCCTTACCATCACTTGTGAGCATGCTCAGTAATTGGTACTGTGTTTACAGGAAGAAACTTCACTCACTCTACTCCAAGATGTTTTGGCCCCTGTACCAGCAGTGGCTGGAGGAGGTGGAGAAAGCAAGGGAACAAGAAGAAAGCCTTACTGTGAGTGTAGCTTTATCTTGGAATGGATGTGCTGCTTTCATTTCCAAAGTTGCAGGGCTTCAGTACAGCATACAGGGAGGGACAGGAAGTGAGTTTAGGGAGACAAGGAGGGTGGTGGATGTGTTGAGGAGAGACTGGCCACACTGCCTCTCTCCCTGACTTGCTTCTTTTTCTGTGGAGAGGTGACAAGGTCAGTGATGGTCAGTGATGAGCCAGCATGGGGGTGGAGTCAGGGGCTGAGCAGGCACTGCCTGGAAAGTGCAGGAGAAGGTATGGGATTGTATCCTGAGATGGAGCCCTTCATGATCCATGATGTGAGGACACCAAGGAGCAGGAGGCCCAACCTAGACTTCTGACACAGTGATCCAGGATGCAGAGTGGGAGCAGTCAGTGTGGCTGTGGCAGAGCAGGTGGAGACTTAGCTTTCAGTGGTTGGAGTTCAGACCAACTCAGTCCAAGAGGAGAAGAGGGAAAGGCCTCATGCCACTATGGACACTTGATGATGACTGACTGGTCTTTAACCTGGAAAGGAGAATGAGGTTTGGGGGACAGGTACTGGACTCTCAACAGTGTGGTCTTTGGGGCCTTATTCTTCCTGCTAGAGGATGGAGCTTCCCTCCTGAAGATTCTGATTTCCAAAGGTGGGGAAGCAGAGGCTTGAGTACTGCGGGACATGAAGGCCCTGTCCAGTCCAGTAGTTTGAAGTATGGCCTCTGGCATGCCATCGATTGTAAGGCAGTTATGGTCCAGTTACTTGCATTATGCTAACTCAGGAAAATAGTTCACCTCTGTGCCTCAGTTTCCTAGGAGGGAAAGCAGACCTGTGGAGAATCCCTTACCTTCTAGACTTGTGTGTTGGATGGCTTCACTTTTTTACATGTTGCTATGTAATGCTGGACAGCAGGAGCCAGTATATGGTTGCTGTCTTCCCTGACATTCTTGTTTGGTTGATAATGTAGTTGATGGAGTGTCACAGTGTGGGAATGACTGATTAATGAGAAAGGCTTAGGTCAGGACTTTTATGGAAAGAAGGGTTTCCTTAGAAGCTAACCTACGTGCTTGTTGAATATGACAAAAAATGTTAATACTTAGTGAGAACTGGACCACAAGGAACATTTTATACTTATTTTGGTGAGGTGGGAATCCACGGATTAGATGGATCCCATGTTAATTTTGAAATGAGTAACTGTTTCATGGGAGTGTTGCACGGGCTTGACAGACTATCTTACTTTGTGACAGGTCAGACATTGTTATGTTTTTGGTACTGAAGGTCACGTTGTCTTCAGACTTGATCATGAGTTGGCAGAACATGAAACAATATGGGAAGCAATTCCTGTAAGCAGCTGGGTTGGATGTTCAATTTTACTGACACTTTGTCATTCATTTCCTCTATTTCAGCTTATAACCAAGGAGCAAATGAATATTTTAGAGGAAGCTATTTTGGATCATGAAGTCAAGCTTGAGAATGCTAAAGACATGTGTGACACAGTTTTGAAGGTCTGATAGATTGCACTTCTTAAAACACACCCTTGTTTCATACCATGTATCTGTAAAAGCAGAAGACAGACTGGCCCTTTTTCAATTTGTGGAGAAAGTAATTAACTTTGAAATTGGTGATCACATTCTCTGGGAATATTTTGCCCGCACAGGAGAAACACTAGGGTTTGTTTATACCGGGAAGCTGATGACCTTTTGGAGAGAGTGTTCTAGCACGGGAGCTGCTGGCTGGAAATCTGCTCTGGAAGGAGCACACTCTGCATTGCAGTGTGTTGTTGACCTCTGGTGACGCTTTGATATTTAAGTGGTTAAAGACATCTGGAGATCTCGTTTTGGTTTTCTTTGGCTCCTTTTTATTGGATGGGTCCATGCAATAAGCAGTAGGTGAGGACAGCTTTTATTTTCTTTCTTGTTGAGTATTTTGTAGTTTTCCAGTATTAGATGTGGGCAGTCAGAAAGGTGGTAGAAGATTAACCATCTTTGGGTCAGTCAAGACCTGCCTGCTTGCAATTGCACCCTGGCTGTAGTTCCGGGACTTAAGTTACCTTGGCACCCATCTGTATATCCAGGAGTCAAAGCTACCCTTCAGAGGCAATTCTTTTTGATGCTCTTGCTAAAATATACTATGTAACATCTCTCTTCAAGATCTGATTCAGACACCTTCACAAAATTGTTCGGTGTGTCCCAGCAAACTAATTTTTTTTCAGGGTGCTGTGAGAAGCTAGGTCTGTTTTGCTGAGCAAGAATCAGTATACCCCAGTTAGTAACTTAGTGAATATCTCTAGCACCCATGTGCTTATAATCCCAGAGTCCTGAGGGTAGAGATGGGGATCCTTGGGCCTTGTGGAATGACCAGTGGAGCCAAATTGGCAAGCCCCAGGCTTAATGAGAGACCCTGCCTCAAAAAGTAATGTGGTGAGCGGTCCTGGAAGGCGTACACACACCTGAGAATGAACATATTTGCAAACATGTACACATGGAGGTAATTACTTTCAGATTTTTATGATCTCCAGCCTCCACACACAAATACACACACACAAACACCTTTCCGAACACACCCGCATACATAGTAAAGCTTTTCAAGACCTTGAGAGCTCCCTACACACAAATCCAGTCCTTTTGGAAGAGCCTAAGAAGGTACGGCTCTAATGCAGCTGAATACTGCTTGGGAAATGGCTCCAAGAACCCACCAGAAAGGCTTGCTCCTGCCTGTGAGTGCACAGTGTGAGCAGCACCACAGGGAGAGCCTTTGACTGGGCCTCTCTGGCCTCCCAGGTGGTCCCGGCCTTTCTGCCCTATGCTCTTCTGCCTCTCTCACTCTCTTGATCTCCCTCTGCTCCTTCACTCAACCTTTCTCCTTTGCTAGTCCTAGGCTCTGAGGGAATGTTATCCTGAAACAGGGCCTTTCCAAACTCTTCAGTATTTTCCAGTGGCCTTCCTTCTTAATTATCCCTGCTTCCTGTGTGTCCTCTGCAAACACCCTGCCCCGCCCCCAGAAATTCACTGGCTGCTTCTGTGTGTCTTCCCTCCTCCCAGTGCACCAGCTTCCCCTGAAGTGGCTTCTTCTGTCCCTTGTCCATGCTGCTTTGCTTCTGCTCTTTGCCCAGAGAGCTCCCTGTGCCTGGTCTTCACTAAGGAAATCCTATGTTTTTACCACTGCAAGTCACCATTTCTGTCCTTTTCAGCTGAGTGCCCAGCAAGGTCCCCTTCCATACCTGTTTTCAGCCAGCATGCATGCCACCTGTCCCTAAGCTCCTCTGTGGCCCTAAGAGTAAGGCAGAGTACGGAAAAGCAGGCATTTTGCAAGTGCTGGACAGAGGTGACCAGTTCTTTCTCCTCTAGATCCACCACTTCAGTGTTCTTTGAGAGATCAGAGGAGATTGAGTCCTCACTCCAGCTTTTCTTAGCCTGAAAGGTCATGCGATTGCATACTGTGTCTTCTCTGTGAAAATAACATTTCTGTGGACACAGTGAATGAATGGCCCCTTTCCCTGGGAAACCTCACCCACCTAGTTTTCTGAGATAAGTGCCTTAGCTGTTATGATCCCACAACAATTCTGCCTTCAGTTGTGGCACCTGAACTGTTTTGTGGAGTGGCCATATAGGTACACATCAAGTCACCACTGTTCTTATTTTTTTTTAATTATTGAAAGCATCCTTTAGATATGCATAGCCAGTGCTTTTAAAAGTAAATGAGGTGAGGAGTCAAGTTGGAGTGTCTTCGGGCTCAGGTAGAGGTTTTTGTTTCAGAAAGCCAAGAAATTGCGTGAACATCACAAAACTTTTATTGGCGGTCATCATAGTGAAGTGGAAAAGGAAATCTCCAAGGCTCAGGACAGAGTTATCATGAAAACCGTAAGTTGTGTGTCTCTAACACTGTGTGTCTCCAACTGGCTTTCTGTTGGCAGAGATGTAATAATAATTCTCTAAATCTCCGTTTTTAAACAGCAAGAGCAAGATGTGTCCGTTGTTGAAACATACTTTCAGTCCCTGATCCTTGACAGCTCTGAAGAAACCATCTGAAGCTCATTGTAGGATGTGCAGTGAACATTAATTAGCCTTGCTAAGAGGATGTTAGTAGTAGTCCGTGCTACCTTCTCTTTACTTTGTTTGTTATGAATAAGATGGATTTTGTCAACCATTAAGTGAACCCCAGCAGTTCTGTGAGTAGCAACAGTTAATTGTGGAACCTCCACAACAGCAAGGAAGACATATTCTCCCTAGCCGTGGCATTTTATATTTGGAAGCAGATGTCATTTGATTTGTATGGTTGGCTTCTTTGGTTCTCTGTCACTTCCCAGAAATGATGTTACCTTACTTAGTCCAGGAAGAAGTAAATAAAGATGGGGCCTGTATTTCTGTGCATATTTTCATTTACTCCTTAGGTCATAGAGCCAGTTCCATTGCAAACAGGTCTTTACAGGTAAACCAACCCAGCATGCTCACTCAGACTTGCTGAACACAACTCCTGTGTGTGTACTCAGATGTGTTAAACTGTGAACATGATTTCCACAGCAGAGTCAGGTTCTAACATGTTGGGTTTGAGCTGGTAGTGGGGCTGTGGCATTTCCCAGAGACATCTCGACTCATCTCACTGCTGTGCTCGACAGTGGTTGAAAGACATCTGCTCTTACCTTTGGTTGTAAACGTTTTATAGATGCGTATCTGCATAAGAATTTATGGTCTCAGTGTTTTGGGTGGATGTTTATAGGAGTATTTTTATAGTATTTTATTCATATTTATTACTCAGCTTGGATGTGGAAATGTACACATGTGCTTTGAACTCTGAATTAAAATTTATTTCAGCCAGGTGCAGAGGTGCACACCTTTAATCCTAGCACTCTGGGAGGCAGAGGCAGGCAGATCTCTGTGAGTTCAAGGCCAGCCTGGTTTACAAAGTGATTCCAGGACAGCCAGGGCTACACAGAGAAACCCTGTCTTGAAAACAAAAACAAACAACCAAAAATATGTATTGTTTCTTTTCCACTGCCTTTTTCCAAAGCCTTTAAAATCTTTTCTTGAGTCCATTTGAAGTTGTCTCATAATTTACTTGTAATAATTCCATTTTCATATTTTTATAACATACTGTTAAAAGGAGAACCCACCTCAGAAGAGTAATTTTCATACTCCCCATTTTCCTATGAACCATCCTTCTCTTCTTCATTTTTATAAGCTGTGAGAGCCTTCAAGTATGTATGTCTTTTTTTTTAAACTTTCATTAGATGTCAAACTATGCTGTCTATTTTCTATATCTCCCCTACTTGGATGGTCCTATGAAAGCATTAATCTCCACTTTTGGCAGGGGAGGGCATGACAGAATGGTGAGATCATTGGGAACTGGGAAGTTGGAAGAGGTGGTGTCAGCTCTGAGACTGATAGGACAGGGCAGAGCTACTCATAGCTGTGGCCTCAGCTGAAGTTGGGAGGGGTGGCCATGCACAGCAAAGGCACATGCAACTGCTGCTGTTTGAACTAAGAAGTAGGCAGTAGCTATGACCTTCTTATCCGGAGCACACAGAGAGTTCTTCAGCTCCAGGCACTAGCAGGGTGTTGCAGGTTCTGTCTGCCCATCAGCTCTCTATGCTAATGAGCCTGTGGGGTGAAACCAGCTTCGAACCATCTATGATAAGCATGGGGCCTAGACAGACATAAATGGAGGGACAGGTGTCAGAGCAGTGTACACACCCCTCCCTCAAAGCGAACAAAACCAGTAAGTGGGGCAGAGTTTAAGCCTCATAAAGAGCTCAGTCAGGACAGGCAGGCTGGCCTAGATTGGTTCAGGGACAAGAGGTGCATCATGTGTACCCTCTTCTGCTTCTCCAGAGCAGGAACACCAACACCACTGTGTTCCCGCAACTAGGCCAGCCTCACCTTCTGCCCCCACTCCCACCTCATGCCCAAAGGAAAAGCTGGTGATCACCAAGCACCACTCCCACCCTGTGTTCCTTCAAGTAGACCCATCTCACATTCCTCTACTGCCACCCTTCCATCCACTGCAAACCACTTCCCATGTCCAAAGGTGGGGTCGGGGAGCCAGGGAAGCAAGCATGGTCCTGGGTGTGCTGGGCGCAGAGTGACTCCTCACAGGTTGGCTTGATTCCATCTGGCTACACCCCACTGGCCTGCTGGGCTCTGGCCTAGACACTTCCAGTGCCAGTGCCCAACATTCATTCCCTTCTGCAACTGGCTGCTTATCCTAGACAACCCTCATGGTTGTAGCCCAGTCCCTCTCCCATTGATGTTGTGTGGTCTCCTGCACAGCACTCACTGGGAGCACTTTGCTCCCCTCGACACCTTGGGCCACTCAAGTAGCCTTGTAGGAAATAAGACTCAAGGGTAGCGGTGCAACTCAGTGGCACTATGGAGAACCAACCCCTTCACAATTCTAGGCTTCTAAGGTGCTTCCACCGTGCCCCTACCCATTACACACATTCTCCTTGTCCCTCCCCCAAAATGTGGTGCCATCACCTAACATTTAAAACTAAGACAACCTGATCTTGTAGTGGGGCTGTGGTATTTTCCATGTAGGTGCTGGTTTTTCAAATGCTACTTTATTTGGGGGTTCCGTAAAGCATGTACCTTCCTTCCAACCCTCTATCCCCAGGCAGGGGATAAAGAAAGTTGTAAGGGAAAGGGGACATGGCCCGCTTTACTTCCTCCTGCTGGGTAGGGTCCTAGGATTCCTTTGGGGGCAATACCAATATCGGTCATCAGGAAATCCAGATGTCCAGGTAGCCAGCAAGCCAACAAGAGCAGCAAGCAGTCCTCCATCTCCTCCAGGCAACCATGCCTTCTTCCTCAGGGATATCATATTTATGACCCTAACAGTCCTCAGAATTCAACTAATTCCACCTTGCAAAGACCACATTGTACTCCAGACAATTGACATATGTGAACAAACCAAAATCCCTCAGTTGGGATTTTAACAAAAACGTGTTTACATATCATAAACAAAAATGTCCACAACAGATAGAAGACAAGGTCAGTGGTGGGTTAGGAGCCAGCATGGAGGTGGAGTCAGGGGCTGAGCAGGTACTGCTTGGAAAGTGTAGGAGAAGGTATGGGATTGTATCCTGAGAGGGACTTCTTCATGATCCATGATGTGAGGACACCAAGGAGCAGGAGGCCTAATCTAGACTTCTGACACAGTGATCCAGGATGCAGAGTGGGAGAGGACAGTGTGGCTGTGGCAGAGAAGGTGGAGACTTAGCTTTCAATAGTTGGATTTCAGACCCAATCCCAGAGGAGTAGAGGGAAAGGCCTCACATCACAATAGATGCATGATGATGACTGACTGGCCATTAACCTGGAAAGGAGAATGAGGTTTGGGGTACTTCAGAAGCCTAGAGTTGTGAAAGGGTTGGTTCTCCATAGCAGCACTGAGCTGCACAACTACCCTTGTGTCTTATTTCTTAGAAGGCTCCTTGAGCATCCCAAGGTTTCAAGGAGTCAAGCACTCCCTCGCTAGGAGTGCTGTGCAGGAACACAAACACACTTGTGAGAGTGAGCACACACACACATCATCAGTGGGAGAGGGACTGGGCTGTGATCATGAGGGGTGTAGCCAGGCACAGAAGGGAATGGATATTGGGCACTGACAATGGAGGCA